CTATCAAGGTCGTGTATAAAAAAACATCTAAACACCACCGTTGACCTTGGCCACACATACGTAATAAAATCATCAGCATAATTACATAACATCAAAAAATACGTTTACTGCAACTGCAGTAATAACTATGTTGTCACTCAAGGTTACTGCAACCGCAGTACCACACACAATAACGCTAAACGTCTTTTCATGTAGCGACTAACCTAAAAACCTATTTGCAGAAGCATTTAGCAGAAGAACACACGCTCAGAGTGGGTCACGATAGCCCTATAGCTATCAAGGCTGCTCGTATATCATATCAAAGCCCTGAACATTCCGAGTGCCCATCCTTTGGTCTTGAATAGTTTTCACATGAAGCTAAAACAATTTATTCTGACTAATTAGTCGATTTCTCATGACTAAGTGTTTTGCCTCAAGTCAGTTTTCAACTTTTATGAGTGCAGGATAAGTCGCAACGCATCAGTCGCGTATTGAAATGGAGTGCCGGACATCAAGCCGACGGGACTTTCTATCCGAATTGTAAAGTTAGGGACTTCAAGCTGAAAATTTTCCAATCAAGTCGTGAAATATGGCTTTTGAGTAGTACTTATCTCCACTTTTTTTTGTAAATCGAGCGCCAGAATACACCTTGTACGTCGATCAGTAATTAGACATGTTGCTTCTTTAACTTCCCAACCCATCGAATTTAATGTTGCCTTCAGAGCACCAAGTATCACGATAGGTTATTTATTATAATCCACAAACTGCGACGGCAAGTTAAGACGTTCTGCTGGTGTAAACTTTACTTGATTTGATGATTCCAAAACTAATTTTGCGGTGGGCCAGTTTAAGAACTTTTTTGGACTTCCTGTATCCACCAATGCCTTTAGTGACTTCATACGCTCTGACTTTGGGTCTCTACGTATGTCGATTTGTTGAACATTAGATTCTTTAGTGGAAATATCGTCACATTTTCCCTGTCGTCCTTGTATGCAACTGTTTATGCTCTCAATTTGGTTACTTTTGATTCGATTGAAAATACCTCGGATTCGTCACAAGAGTCAAATATCTGTACTAGGTTAAACTCTTCTTCCGAACTCTCAGTCCTTTCAGCTATCTCATTCACTTGCTGCGATCTGCACGTACGTGCGAAATGATTTGGTTTATTACAGTTTTTGCATTGTTTGCCCATTGCGGGCAATTTTTTAGATGTCCTTCTGTAAATGTTTTTCCGCAGCGATTGCATTTTCCGAGACGTCAGTATATTTTGTTGTTCTTCCGTCATGTTAGCATTGAACTGTAACAAGGTCTACTGCAACTGCAGTAATAACTATGTTGTCACTCAAGGTTACTGCAACCGCAGTACCACACAAAAAAACGCTAAACGTCTTTTCTTGTAGCGACTAACCTAAAAAATGTTTGCAGAAGCATTTAGCAGAAGAACACACGATCAGATTGGGTCACGATAGCCTTTTAGCTATCAAGGCTGCTCGTATATCATATCAAAGCCCTGAACTTTTCAATTGCCCCTCATTTGGTCTCAAATAGTTTTCTCATGAAGCTAAAACAATTTGTTCTGACTAATTAGTCGATTTCTAATGACTAAGTGTTTTGCCTCAAGTCAATTTTCAACTTTTATGAGTGCTGTATAAGTCGCAACGCATCAGTCGCGTATGGAAATTGCGTGCCGGACATCAAGCCGACGGGACTTTCTATCCGAATTGTAATGTTAGGGACTTCAAGCTGAAAATTTTCTTTTCAAATCGTGTATTAAAATAACATCTAAACGCCACCGTTGACCTTGGCCACACATACGTAATAAAATCATTAGCATAATTACATAATATCAAAAAATACGTTAACTGCAACTGCAGTAAAAACTATGTTGTCACTCAAGGTTATTGCAACCGCAGTACCACACACAATAACGCTAAACGTCTTTTTATGTAGCGACTAACCTAAAAACTTATTTGCAGAAGCATTTAGCAGAAGAACACACGCTTAGATTGAGTCAGGATAGCTCTATAGCTAACGAGGCTGCTCGTATATCATATCAAAGCCCTGAACATTCCGATTGCCCCTCATTTGGTCTCGAATAGTTTTCACATGAAGCTAAAACAATATATTCTGACTAATTAGTCGGTTTCTCATGACTAAGTGTTTTGCCTCAAGTCAGTTTTCAACTTTTATGAGTGCAGTATAAGTCGCAACGCATCAGTCGCGTATTGAAATGGGGTGCCGGACATCAAGCCGACGGGACTTTCTATCCGAATTGTAAATTTAGGGACTTCAAGCTCAAAATTTTCTACTCAAGTCGTGCATAAAAATAACATCTAAACACCACCGTTGACCTTGGCAACACATACGTATCTAAATCATTAGCATAGTTACATAATATCAAAAAATACGTTTACTGCAACTGCAGTAATAACTATGTTGTCACTCAAGGTTACTGCAACCGCAGTACCACACACAAAAACGCTAAACGTCTTTTCACGTAGCGACTAACCTAAACACTTGTTTGCAGAAGCATTTAGCAGAAAAACACACGCTCAGATTGAGTCACGATAGCTCTATAGCTAACGAGGCTGCTCTTATATCATATCAAAGTGCCAAACATTCCACTTACCCCTCATTTGGTCTCGAATAATTTTCAAATGAAGATAAAACAATTTATTCTGACTAATTAGTCGATTTCTCATGACTAAGTGTTTTGCCTCAAGACAATTTTCAACCTTTATGAGTGCAGGATAAGTCGCAACGCATCAGTCGCCTATTGAAATGGGGTTCCGGACATCAAGCCGACTGGACTTTCTATCCGATATTGTAAAGTTAGGGACTTCAAGCTGAAAATTTTTTACTCAAGTCGTGCATAAAAATAACATCTAAACACCACCGTTGACCTTGGCCACACATACGTAATAAAATCATTAGCATAATTACATAATGTCAAAAAATACGTTTACTGCAACTGCAGTAATAACTGTGTTGTCACTCAAGATTATTGCAACCGCAGTACCACACACAATAACGCTAAACGTCTTTTCACGTAGCGACTAACCTAAAAACTTGTTTGCAGAAGCATTTAGCAGAAAAACACACGCTCAGATTGAGTCACGATAGCCCTATAGCTAAAGAGGCTGCTCGTATATCATATCAAAGCCCAGAACTTTTCGATTGCCCCTCATTTGCTCTCGAATAGTTTTTAGATGAAGCTAAAATAATTTTTTCTGGTTAATTAGTCGTTTTCTCATGACTAAGTGTTTTGCCTCAATTCAATTTTCAACCTCTATGAGTGCAGGATAAGTCGCAACGCATCAGTCGCGTATTGAAATGGGGTGCCGGACATCAAGCCGACGGGACTTTCTATCCGAATTGTAAAACTAGGAACTTCAAGCTGAAAATTTTCCAATCAAGTCGTGTATAAAAATAACATCTTAACACCACCGTTGACCTTGGCCACACATACGTAATAATATCATTAGCATATTTACATGACATCAATAAATACGTTTACTGCAACTGCAGTAATAACTATGTTGTCGCTCAAGGTTACTGAAACCGCAGTACCACACAAAATAACGCTAAACGTCTTTTCATGTAGCGACTAACCTAAAAACTTGTTTGCAGAAGCATTTAGCAGAAGAACACACGCTCAGATTGAGTCACGATAGCCCTATAGCTAACGAGGCTGCTCGTATATCATATTAAAGCCCTGAACACTCCGATTGCCCCTCATTTGGTCTCGAATAGTTTTCAAATGAAGCTAAAAACAATTTATTCTGACTAATTAGTCGATTTCTCATAACTAAGTGTTTTGCCTCAATTCAATTTTCAACCTCTATGAGTGCAGGATTTGTCGCAACGCATCAGTCGCGTATTGAAATGGGGTGTCGGACATCAAGCCGACGAGACTTTCTTTCCGAATTGTAAAATTAGGGACTTCAAGCTGAAAATTTTCCAATCAAGTCGTGAAATATGATGAATTTGACAAAGTTTTTGATGAATTACTCAATTATATTATCTTTTTTCGGTAGTTATTGGCGTTTTCATGAAATTTAAGCCTCCAAATGATGTTTAGGAAAGTTGAAAAATAAAGCACGGTTGAAGGCAATTTTCTTGTTTATAATTTATGCATTTCAAAAAACGGCTGATTTCATTAACAAACTCCAATCCTAAGTAATTTATTGTCATGAATAACGCTTATTCTGGTCTAAACTTGCCTAAAGTTTTTGAAAGCAACGTTTTTAAGATAAAAAATATTGATTTGAGGTGTATGTAAAGTTTAAATTTCGGCCTGAAGTCTCTTCGGCTTTAAGTCCCGTTGGCTTGTTGTCCTAGACCCATTTAAATATTAAGTTTCAATCGGTAAGCTTTGAATCGAATTTAAATTAGTGCAAGCACTCTATTTGGTATCTGATGATTTTGAGATCGATCATTGCAAGCTATCATTTCCCCTGTAAAATTAGTCAGAGTAAAATATCACCCAGGCATATCCAATCTTCAATTTTCGACTTATCGTTCCGTCTTTCAAAATAAGTGACGAACGAAATTTTTGTGCTCTTTTTTGGTTTGTTTTTTTTTGCACAGAAGTTTCGAACTTCAATTAGCTTTTTTTCAAGATTTTTTGTATCACCTGAAAGCTGTTGATGTTTAAAAACTAATATCACAAAAAGTTTTTTACCTGCAACTTTTTTGTAAGGCTATGGGGATTTGAAAATTGCTAATTTGGGATAATTAGAGCCTAAAATGATTCCTTACTTTAAAGCGTAACAAACGAAAAATTCTTATCAAGCGTAAGTGGCGAATAAAACGGAGGCAAGAATTTTTTTTTAAAGAAGTTACCACTTATCAGACGAAAAAATATCACTTGTACTTAACATATCGTGTGGTGAAATGAAATCTAGAAAAATGTTTCAGAAAAAATTTTCGAACAATTGGACAATTTTCCTTTTTTTTACTTCGAAAAGGAATTTATCAAAAGTTGTTCCTTGTTCTATCATCTATCAAACTAACAAAGATACAAACAAAACTTTTAACTTCTTTCCAGGCTAAAAATCAAACAATCATCATTAATTTTATTACATAACTCAATAATGTTTCATTTTTAAATGTTGCGTACTATAAAAGATATTTTTAATAGCATATGAACAATATTGAAAAAAGATGAGCGTCTGGAAATATCACAAAAACTTACAACATACAATTTATGGCATAATTCAATGAGCAACATAAACAGTTTTAGGTTAGTAAAGCTGAAAGGCTAATATGCCTGAATTTTAACATGTCTTTCTAGTTAACGGTAATCAGAAAAAAAAATAAGCGGAGGACCCTCTTATGCGCGTTCGCGATTATCATAATAAGCTAACAAAACATTCAAACATATCACGGAAAATCGCTGTCATTGTTTGATAGCAACGCTATCAACCTGGGTAAAGAATTTTTTAAGCTGAGTTTTTTTTGCCAGCCAATGAATTTGAATTCCTTCTGCGAACATGGTTTTACCAATATAGACAACGTATCTTTCCCCCTCTCGCTTTAGCTCACATGATGCAACAACTGCCGAATGCTTATCTGAATATTTACTTGTTTTTCATCCAGTTCGCTCTATTCGGAATATTAAACTGATTAGTTAGAAAAAACTTTGTGATATATTGCTCTAAGGAAGAACTTCATCCCTTGAATAACCGGCCAATTTTATAAGCTGCTTAGTGAAGGGTTAGGTTAATACACTGTTCATGGTAAATGGTATTAGACCATCCATTCCTTTTTCGAGTATAAGATCACAGTACAGCAGTATCGCAAACGAAGTATTTTTCAACGATGTCAACAATTATTTTCAAAATTGTGTTACGTGCAACGAGTATTTAAAAGTTTATTAATTTGAATTGTCTAAAAATGGAAAATCGATATTTCATATTTTAATTGCTGCCACAGTATCCGGATCACAGAGTCACCCAAAAAAATCCAAACTAAAAAATATCTCAACTTATAACAAATTTTGTTCACATCTTGCTTAATCAAAAACACTTTTTAATTGACTGAAACTTGCAAGCCGAAATGAAAGCGTTCGAAAATCTTCAATTTTTGGCGCTGTTTTCCAAATTCAACTCTTAAAATAAAGCGCTTGATATAACCATCATCTGTAAAAGTTTGCGCCTTTCTCACAAAACGAAAGACAATCGATCGTAGTCCTCGTGACCTGCTTGAAAATCTCCTCCAAAGCGCCACAAGAAGTTTTTCGCCAGTTTAATCACTCTCGTGAGAAGCCTCGGCTCCAGTTTTTCATCAAGTTTAACGAAACCATTTATCACGTAGAACGCTCTGCAGTTGACGTAACAATCCAGAGTCGGGTCAATTTCAGCTCTGAATGGATGTTCATCGCTAATTTTTGAGTCTCGCGAGATTAGGCGTATAATAAACATTTCCACCTGTGGCAAGCCTGCGAGTAATTTCAGGATAGTATTGTCGTGATTATCAGAAGAATCTGCAGCAATGCCTACCATAAGAAGCTTAATGTTTGGGAATGGAGCTACATTTTTGATAACTGATTCAATTGATTCGCGACACTTCGCAGAACGTGGCGAAGGAACTTCCCAGATAAGCAACTCGGTCAAAAACGGAGATAAAGAACATTTCTTGAACACATCAAAAGACAACTGTAACGTTCTGCAGCTGTCTGGCAGTACGTCTATATGGGCCGTTTCCTCAGTATAGAGTTCGTCATCAAGAGCTAAGAACTTAAGTTTCGGCGCGTGATGTTTCAGAAAAACTGGCCACTTGGGTAGGCAAGGAACACTCGTAAAATAACAACTCAACGAAAATCTTTCCACTGTGAAAATCTTCAGCTCTGGGAAGATAATTTCCTCTCCTGGCTTGTTATTTAAAGGGAGCAAGGAGCAATAATCCGTCCAGTTTCCTATCAAATTCAGCTCTCGGAGACAATTTTGACGAGGTATCTCAGCATGTTGTTGAGTTCGGATTCCGTCTCTACTTCCGAATGTCAATTTCTCCAGATTAGGACAGGTTTTATATGCAATCGCAGTTGCTGGATTTCGAAAATTAGTGTATCTAACCTGTGAGACATGCTTTAGATTAATGCTTAAGTGGTTGAAATCAAAATCAACCGAGTCTACTCTTTCGAATGCTAACTTAGTGGTTGGGCTACAAACATATTTGATGATTTTGCTGACAATTTGTTCAGAACTGTGCCTGTCTACTCGATCAAAAACCAACAGTGAGCAGCTGGGTTTTAAAAAGTCGGATCCGTCACAAATCCCTTTCATGAACTTCGAAAGACCAATGTGACTGTCCTGCTCAAAGCCGACGATCAAGCGCCATACTTTCCATTGTGTCCTCATTCTAATGAAGCTCAATATCTCCACGCCAAAAATAGATTGATCTGTGAAATTCTTCTGCAGTTTCTGAACGGGATTGATTCTGATGCTTAAATGCAGAAGTGTGTTTTTGGTTTCGGTCTCAAAACGTTTGCAAGTCATTGAAAAGCTAAGTAAATCGACGAGAGACGCCGATAAGTAATTCAAAATCCCTCGGAGAACAAGATTAGGCAGATCGGTCAGAGTTGCAGCTCGTCTACAAGATGCGAAGCCTTTTTTACTTTCCAATTCGTTGAGTTTGTTGGGCAATGTTGCCTCTGATTCAGATTCTATGCTCGTCTCCTGAAAACAACCTTGAAAATTTATATTAGTTTCTAAAATTTGGTTTAGAATCAACCGTACAATTTTTCCCTTAAATCAAATTAGGGGGGACAAAATACCAGTTTTTCAGAAGTTAATCTCGAGGACAAAATAAACTGATCTAATTAATCAAACAAATTAATTATATTAAATATTTCAGGTTGTTCGCAGTATAAAATAGCGTATAAAATTTTATGCGGAAATAAGTTTCAGAGTTTGTACCATGTAACTAAAGCCAAATGAAAGCTTTCGGTGAAGTACTACATTGCAGTTTGAAAATGATACTTTTAATAAGCTAATAGGAGTTGTTATAATTTAGGTTGCTAAAACCAAAAGGATTAACCGTTAAACGTCATTGATTTCTGCTTGGAACATTTTATGCAGTCATTCAGGAACTTTTTATGCTTGCAAGTACTTTCAAGAAGTTAGCTGCTCGATTAGAGAAAAATGGATGAATATATAATCATTCAAATTTTTCCAATTGAGTTAATTTCATGAAAATACTTGCAAGCATAAAAAGTTCCTGAATGACGGCATAAAAGGTTCCAAGCACAAATCAATGACGTTTAACGGTAGATTTTTCATGAAGTTGGGGAAATTAGGGAAAATTGGATGAATGAAAATTGGAGGATTATATTTATATTTGCGCTGGGAGTCCTCAAAAAATTGAGGTCTAATTTGAAAGTAAAAATAACCAGTTTTTGCGTAATATGTGCAATTGTTGATTTAAGTATCGTAATGTACCTTGCTTTTAACTAATGAGCTAAACCCAAAAATAAAATGAAAAACATCCCGCAAAATAAGAAATTTAAGAAACCCGATTTAAAGATATTTCTTGGAAAACGAACAAACAAAACACTATAGGGGTTGATAATGATAAATTACTTAGTTCATTTAAGCTCTGAAATGCAGTAAAATAGTGTAGGCAATGTCGAGGCGAAGTCGATGTGCCAGCAGCGACAATACTTTACCCGCACTGCAGTTGCATGGATAATAATCAATTATACTGTCATTTTACTGTCAGTATTCATAAAATTACAGAAGTAATCGATCAGAATCCATTAAAAATGGACTATAATCCTAATATTTTTATATCAATATAAACCGTTATAATCAACTATAATAGTTTTTTTTAGACGTTATTTGTGAGTTTTGCAGGTTTTGCAGGTTATCTCACTTCCTGTTTAAAGCTTATACTACGGATTACGTTTCACAGACCTAAACTTTTCACATAAGTTTTTACTCGTTTAAGTTTCTCTACTTTTTCAATTTGGCAGTTTACAAGTTTATTTTTTTGTTATTTTTTTACCATCGCCATAGTAAAAAACTACCAATCGCCCATTACCTCCCCCACCCACCCCACCTACTACCCCTCCCCTCACTTGAACGACGGGGGTACTTAATGGTTGAAGGCGGGGGGATTGATGAGGTGGGTTGGTTCTACGGGGTGATATGGTAGGGGAAGACCTGGGACATGCATAAACTTGCGTTTCAGGGCTCGAAGTGTTTTAACAATTTGGTGTCATTTTGATGTAATTGTGCAAATTTCTCATCCACAACTTTCAAGAGTTTAATTAGCTGTAAGCAAACTTGATTGTCAACATACTCGATTATAATCGATAGCTAAATGTTGAAATTAATCGATTAAAATCCCTTAAAATTCCATTTTCATGGTTGGATGGGTTTTGAAAATCGGTTATATGGGTTAAGTTTTTTTTTGCCAATATAATCCATTATAATCGATTATTTTCCATAAAAATCCAGTGCGGGTAGTGTTTTTCATCAAGATTTCTGACTTGAATTAGAACTCGTGACTCAAACGACTATCATTTTAGATGTTGAATAGAGGGGGAAACTTAGAACAAAAACATGAAGAAACGTTTCAGTTGCCAAACATCAAAACATTTCAGTTGCCAAACATCAAGATTGTTTTGATGCTTGATAAATTTGGAATAAATTTCTTACTAGTTACGACACAATGAAAATTTTTATCAGAAAAAAGCCAGGTATCCAATGACTATTAGAGGTAGTGTTGTGTCATGTAACTTTTGCCTGAGTCTCTATGTGTTTCTTGCTTTTGCTGGTGAGTTTAAATTAGTATGTACTTTTTTACATAAATTTATGTAAAGTTTGTCATATGTCAAATCAGCTGCGTTTACCCGGGCTGACCTCTATACACCGAAAATGCTTATCATACAATTCCATACATCAAATGTATTTAAAAATGCTTGTCATGTAATTTTCGTAGTTTCGAAAAATGGTTAAAAAAACTATTTTCTGCGGCTGTTTGATTCTAATAAAAACTGTATGACTAGCATTTTTTTGATGGCGACACAAAAATTTTCAAAGTAGTTTTGAAATTGCCCCTGAATTTTTGTTTCAACCACATATCGAATTTTGTACTCAAACAAACATTTTCTAACAAAAAATTTTGTGATCATTTTATGTTCTAGTGTTCATAACGTAGTCCAGGCTACACTAATCTTGGATTTTTTCCTTTTCGTTGAATATTTTTTTTACAAAAAAAAACTGAAAATTCCTACTCCTTTTGTATGCATAATTATGTATGCCTTGATCAGTGTCTGATGTTTTTGAAATTTAAACTTCAAAAGTAATCATTGTTGAAAAATTTTGCCAGAATTCAAAAGTTTGTTACTTTCGTTATATGATTTGTGAAAGACAGGTCTAAGATAAATCAGGTCGTTTTCTATGCAATATAAATGCAAGACCGTCCAACCCTTGGCGTTTTGAGTAAATCAAAGGTTTTTCAGTTGCTTTTTATTACGAACTAAACTAAAAAAAAAACATTTCGGTATATGGAAAAATACTAGAGTTTTCATACAGTTTTCCGTACGTATAGAACTGCATGGCAAGAAGTTTTTCATAAATGGAAATTGTTTGAAAAGAAGTTTCAGTCAACCCGGGCAACAGTCTTACATGATTTGCACTTCATTCGCAGCAGATACGCAATACTTTGTTTTCTACAAAAACATATCTGCTGTTTTTGGTACGTTCATAGAGTGCTTTCTGTAGTATATGGTCGTCTCTAGCAGATACTTAAAAAACATCAAACTGTAGATTGCTGATGCATGTTCCACAAAGACGATGATTACATAAAGAAACTGTACAAATGTATGAAACAACTTTGTATAACATTTTGAAGAATATTTTAAAAAGGTAGATTAGAGTTACAACTTGAAAAAAAAAATTGTTTATGTGAATGATGAGATACTTTTTTTACAGCTAATTAACCTCAAGGAAAAAAATCATAAATTAAAATTCAGATGCATACTCGAAGTGCATAATTTAATCCTCGGTAAAAAGTCTACGTTATCAAGGGAATACAATGGAAAAAGACCAACGCAAAAAAAAAGAAAATTGTGGATTTGAAACAGATGTTTCTTAATTCAACTTTTTGACGGTGTATAATTAAAATTTCATAAGGATAATTAAAGCGTTAATAATCGATTATGATATGATTTTAGTACCAGTCTTACAAAAATTGAGAAAAAGTTGATTTTAATCAAATCATAATCGATTAGAATCTCTTTTTTTGAAAACAAATATAATCAATTATAATACAGTATAGTCGATGATAATCGATTAGTTTCATCCGAATTTCTAATTCATTTGTTTTGCAGAGAAAGTCCACTATAGCCGATTATAATTGTTTATCATCCCTTGCGTTTTCCCATTTTGTCCTCGACTTTGCACCTGAATTACTTATATTTTATGCTGTTCACAGACGTTCGTTCAAGTAAAAAATTGACAAATTGTCCTAACAGATTTGAAATCAATTCAAATTTATAACGTCTTTATTTTCTAATTCTTCTGGATTATAGTTGTTTCATGATGCACATTTGAAGTTTTTTTCACTACCAAAATATCAGAACACAGCTTTTTTTACTGGTTTATATAAAAGAATTATCTTTCACCCACCGCGGGATTCTTTTAACTAATATGCAGGGATCTCTGTGAAACTCTTGTTTCGTGGTAAGACTTTGTGTTCAGATGAACCAGAGAGTGACAAGGCATCTCACTATCGGAGATTTTTTGACAGAAAAAAGGATTATAATCTATTATATTAGATAATAATAGTTTATGTATATTATAAGAGATTATAAAAGATTATAGCAGATTATGAGAGATTATAAGAGATTTTTCTGAAAAATTATAATCAAATAGAATTGATTATAATTTGTTATAATGTCATGAAAAATGTTATCATCCTATTGGACTATAATTTGCTTAACCATCTAAATTTCGCGCTCATAATTAATTATAACTTTGATAAAATTACAATTGTAAATCTAATATAATCAATTTTTTCTCTTTTTACTGAGCGCGGGTTGCATTTGTTTGCCAGAATTTTGCAAGGTTCGCAGTCCAGGTCAACTACTAAAGTCAATAATATGATCTCTTGCTTAAAGTTTCTTACTTTCTCATACCTAGACAAGGGCAACTTCTCAAATGACATAATTCCCAAATGGCATAATTTCCAAGTTTTCATTGTAATTAAAACGTTTTCTCACAATTTATATTTCTAAGGTTTTGTCAGGAACAAAAACATGTGAACAAAATTTAGAATTAATGGCTTTTTTGAATTTTTGTCAGAAAATTGACCAAAAGAAGCTCATCAGTAACAGCAAGCTTATTCTTTTCGCGTTTGATGATAAATTTTGCAATTTTTTCAAGATAAAATGTCAATCAACATTCGAATTGGCAGTTTGACGGATTTTTTACATGAGTCACCAAAAAGTTTGTCTCGATTTTTCTAATGCAAATGTTGCATGAAAGTTAAGCCATTTGGGAAATTTTTCACTTTTATGCCATTTGAGATGTAATCCTTGATAAGTATGCATTTTATCTTGAGTTGAATGTAAGCACATCAAGGCAGTAACCTTTAGAAGGCGGCTATAATTTGGGATGGGGCTATAATCTGTCTGACCAATTTTTAATCAATGGAGACCCTATTTATTTCATTTTTCATGCAAAAAAAATCATCGTGCTAAAAGTTTCTCATGTGCTGCGAATGATAGTAATTTTGTAGACTTTCAAGACAACTTCCCAACCTATATTAGTATAAATTTTGTAAGGATAAAGTTAATAAAATTAAACATACCTGAAATGATTTTATGTTTGCCATGGGCACAGATGGAGAAATGGGAACCGCTGCAGGATCTTCTAATTGTGCCGGCTGCAAATTTTTCAATGATTTAGAAAATTCTGATCCCTCAATGTAGACCAATAAAACAGTGGACTGACTTAGTGCATGTTGAAGCTCGTGGTCAGAAGAAAACAGAACTAAATCTCCATCAAAGTCTTTCCATCGCAAAATAGTATCACCTTTATTTGATGCTAGGTTCGGGAATAAATCCGCAAGCATGTTTTTCAGCCCTGAAAACTTCATCTCACCGGTATTTTCAAGTTGAAACCTTCTAATGTCGGTCTTGTAGAATACTTTGACGGCCTTCGACACAAGCGTAGATGTGCTTTGGTTTTTTGGCTTTGATGGTTGGCTGTTTAGCTGCTGAGACAACTGGTGAACAGTCCGCTCAACTTTAGACAATCTCTGGTCATTTGCTTTGAGACCAGCTTCGATTTGCCGCAATAAAGCAAAAAGTGAAGTCCCAAGACTTGGCTGAGCACTTTTTAGTAATTTTTCTAGCTTTGAAAAGTTGAATGTTTCAAAATCCTCTGAAGCAAATGCTGTTGAAGAAGTTTTATAATCGATTGATACAGTCTCTGGAATTATCGCAGTCCGATTCTCGCAGTCCTTGGAGTTATCGTCAGGATTTGATCGCTTCTCCAAATTTTCTGGTAGCCGCCAACTTTCTTGCTCCAGCCTGTAAACTCTAGAGACGTCGGCTTCTGAATCCATCTCTGCATTCTTTGATTTCCTCCGATTTTGAATCTGAGTTTAGACTGCAAAGTTTCTAAGGATGCTGCTTTTATCCTGGTATATGCGTGCGGGCCATTGTTCACGAAAATAATTCGACGTTGGTGGTTTTTATTTTGCCAAAAAACAAAACTCGCTGGCGAATAAATTTTGTAAATAACTTTGTTTTAACTAGAAAAGACAAAATAGTTTGTAAGCACGAGAGAAGACAAAATCAACAAAATTAATAACTATTTTTTCAAAGCAAGTAGCACCAATTCTGTAAGGACTAATATATTCTTATACATTGTGCAAAAGCTGTATAATCCAGACTTAAATAAAGTTGTTCAGTTGTTCAAAGATTTTTGTGCAGTTTTGCTTGGTAACCATGTTACAACATTACATGTATTGTTTAATAGTTTGCAGAACACCTTTTGCAAAAAAAAACACTCATGTTTGCTAAATATTAGAATGGACACTCGGTACGCAGAGTCTTGCTTCGTAATAAAACTTAGTCCCGACTTGCAACATTTCTTATTCAGAATCAAAATTGACAACGAAGTTTGAACTTTGCTAACTTAGATGAAACAAGCATAGCGTGCGAATCACGTTTTTAAAAAAGTCTTTGCACACCTGTTTCATGAGCAAATGCCTCGTGGCTATAAACAACCCCGAGATAGGTTAGAACCTTCGATCGTACACTATGCATTTAGCGTTTCCAGCCACCAACTTTTTCCAAATTTTTGTTTCAAATTCTCAAAATCATCTCTGCCCTTCGATAAGAATGACATGCATCAAAAACTCGAATGATAGAAAAGTTCATTGAAGTTCTAATGATAGAATTAACCCTCCAGGAAAATGAGAAAGATGAAGAATTACACGGGTTGTTTAATAATAAAACCGTGTTACGTTATAAAACGGTCTTAAGTATTCTGTTTTAAAACTTTCAATTTTTAGAGTGAAAATTGGTGCAAAAATCCTAAATCGGAAGAAAAGTGAAAAACATTCAGAAGTAGTATTAGATAGAGATCATAAAATTAACAAACGATAGAGAGGTTTAAAGTATGAAAAAAGAAACCAATCAAAAATAAAAACCTCTGTATTAGATGAAGGCAACTGGTCAGATGCGAATGCCGCAGTGACAAAAATGGATGAAACTGATTATAAACAGAAAAATTTACAGATTAAATTCAGTATAGAATCGATTTATCTACAAGCATTTTGCGAACGATAATCGATTCTGTACAGATAGGATCCATTTTCTTCACATTTTTTTTCATAAAACCTGTATATAACCTGTAGATAATCTGCATATAGTCAGTATATAATCTTTATACAATAAAACCTGTAGATAATCTGTAGATAATGATCAGATGACATGTAGATAATCTGTAGATAATCTGTATAAAATCTGTATCAAATTGGCTATATTGCCTAAAAACTAGAGGGGTGCTAACAATTTCAGAATATAAATGAATTTTTTTGACAAAATTGCAATCAGAAAAAATGTTTCTTAGTTTTATCATGAGCTGAACTCACTTGAGGAAAATTGGTTACCGCAAACTACAAATTTCAAGAAAACCCTCTAAGGTTTTGCATTCTAGAGGTTTCCACGGTAAGAAAAGTAATTTTGTGCAAAACTTTTTCAAGAGCAAAACCATTTAAAAGATCAACCTGTTCAGCGCTGTTTTGTAAAAAAAAACATCAATAAAACACCATTTAAAAGATTAAATGGTTGTAAAACCATTTAAAAGATCAACATGTTCAGCGCATTTTTGTAAAAAAAAACATCAATAAAACATTGAAAAATTAACATGTGCATTTTTTTGCTGTAGCGTATTTACACAATGAGGATATTATTTTTTTAAAGATAAAACATCAGTACAAAAATTTCAAACCAAAAAAAAGAGATTGTTGAGAAAACTAGTATATTTTCTGCTAATAACATATATATAGTCTGCATAAAATCTGTATTTAACCTTTATGCAGTCTGCGTATCATCTTTATATCATCGGTCTATATTCTGTAGATAATCCGTACATAATCCTTTGATATTGTGTAAAAAATTTGTTTATAGTATGCATAAATTTTGATAAAGAAAAGAAAAAATTTTGATATGTTTTAACAATGATTATGTAATGAAGTTATAACGTATAAAATTTTTACAAAATAAAATGCGTTAGAATCGTTTATCAAAACTACTTAATCGAAGTTTTGCTATATAAAAATACAGCAGATCTTAAATCTGTATATGTTTTGTATAGATAACCAATGTTTTATCCAACTGCTGGACAATCCGATACCGTGAAAATCAGAGGATAGAGCCTATGATTGCTGCCGAAATTAATTGCTTTTGACTTGAGGCTAGTGAGCTTTTCTTTTTAGTTTTTTTTCAAGCATTGAGTTTAGGTCCGGGGGCGAATTTCTCATGCAAAAATTTCGGATAGAATACAACGTCTGTTCGTCACGCTATCTTATTTTCGTCCGGTTCAATTCGTGCAGATTCTTAGTCCCATACCGATCCTAATCATACTCTTATAGTCCCTAGTCTCATTAGATTTAGTATATACTGGTATTTTTGCAAAAGAGAAGAGGAAGAGCAACTATTTTCTAAGTTAAATTTATTCTTCTCTGACTGAAAGTTTAAATAGTTTCAGACTTAACAAATATTTTAAATTTTAGTCTTGGGTCATGATTGGCTAGTTCTAAATATTTTACAGTTAAAGTTATCGAGAATTTGATTGAGTATTTAAAATTTTTGTTTTGAATTGGATCCACCCGTACAGTGAAATATTGATAAATAATTACTAAAACTTAATTTCACACTTTTCGTGGGTCAAGTTCCGAAAACAATTCATATGGAAGTTAGTTTCAATCATAGGTGAGTGCAGTAAAAGCTTTTTGAGCATGTGAATGATGTCTTTAGTTCAAAATCATGGCCAACGAAGTTCAAGTGACCGGATGTCGTTGACTTCTTCAAGAGTGGCTGTAAAATCAGTGTATAAGAGTATTTTGTAAAATCAGAGTATTTTGTATAAGCTTATAGAAATTTTGATTGAATTTAGTATTGAGGATATTTTCGAAAAGGGGTAATCGATAGGTTGTATTTGGATAGGTAGTCATGCGGGATGATAATGGGGCCAAAGTTTTTATTGGAGAAGTTGCTGGTGAGAGGGCCAAAATATACATTTGGTGGGGAGAGTCATAACTCCGGAGGATGCCGTAGAGGTTAGTTGTTTTAATAGAGTGAGTAATTTTAGGAAAACAGGGAGAAGTATATTTGAAATTAATTAACATGTAACGGTTGAAGAGATTTCCTTAGGGGGATATTTGTAGGAAGTGTCGTTGGATAAAGCGATAGTAAGTATGAGTGCTAGAAAACTCTTTTCTGCTGACTTCGTGATAATAATGAAAATGTATTTCTTTAGTTTTGTGGTGTTCTTTGAAAATGTTTATTATCTGATAAATGGTATTTACTTGATGGTGTTGTGGTTGCAGTATTGGTATTGTTTTGCAGAGTATCATACGTGTTTGGTATTGTCGATAATTTTTTCCAAAAAAAATCCGAAAAAACCAAAAAAAAATCCTGCAAATGATATTCTTGCTACACTTGATTATCTTTTCACTTGTGTTTGATTTTCATATGTTCCTTCAGGAAATAAAAAAAAATCATATAATTTGAAACAATCTCAAGGTAATTTTAATACTGCTAAAGCTAGTGATTGTAATATTTGTGTACTTTCTTGTTCACATAAGTAAAATAGTGCTTCAAACTCTGATAGTGACAGTTCTTGAAAAAATCTACTTATGGCATAGTCAGGTTTCATATCAAGGTTGATGTCGTAATTGATGGCTCCAAAGTATGTGTGATTCATTAGTAAAATTTTCTATAGGCGTGTTTGTCAAAATTTTTTGATAGGAGTTTTTCACCATTTTGTCCGTTCTTTCTTTGTAATGTGACTGATATGTAGCATTTTTTGTCGTTTTCGTGGATTAAGTTATTAATTAAAGTAACTGAACTTCTGTGTTTTAATTTTGAACAAAAAAACTCTCTTTTGCATGTCTATTGATCAAAAGTATCGGAAAAACAGTGTATTAGGATAGGGAATAGCACTTAAAATCATCAATAATGAAAACTTTTTAGCAATAATTTAACAAGTTTTCTGGAATGAAATTTTGTGCTTTAGCATATGCATAAGAAAAAAGAAATTTTGTTTTTGCACATATTCTTAAAAAATCTTGAAAAAAATTTCATAATATTTTTCATAATATTTTTTTCATAATATTTTTTTCGCACTGGTTAAAAATCAAAATAGTTAAACTTCTTTAATTTTTTTCGCATTTTGAAGAAAATTGTAACAAGATTTTCTTGCACTATTAGAAACTAAACTTTAAGAAATCTATTTTTTTACCTGTCTTAATCAAAAACATCAGCAAAGTGTATTAGGATAGTGAAAAGCGCTCGAATACATCAATACTGATAATTTCTAAGCAATATTTTAACAAGAAGAAGAAGGAAGTTAGGTTTTTGCAAACATTTTTTTTATTTGAAAAAAGTTGAGTACTGCAAGCAAAGTTCTTAAGAAGATGCACACTTGTTAAAATTGATTACTTTTTCTGCATCTTATAAAAATAAATAACATAAAATTATTCGTTGAAAAGCAATTGAATTGAAATAAAAACAACTCTGACTAAGTTTTTATAAAGAAATAATCAAGAATTATTAGAAAAAATGACACGCTCACTATTTACAGAACCATAACCAACAATTAAACAGCCAAATATATTGAATAAATCAAATTTTTTGAATTCTGTCTAAAAATGCTGAGCCCAGAGTTTGCGTAGGTGCAAGTTTTTGATTACAACTTTTTCCGAACGAGTCGTTTCTTTGATACGCTTGGTGTTTTTTCAGCTCCTTCCCATCGTAAATTATGCTTAACTTCGTAACTAAGCTGATTGAACAATTCCCACTTAGTGTGACAATTCTTTAAAAAAATCTGTGTTTGTACAAAGTGTAAAGACAATCAATTTCTTGATATATGTATTGCTATTTGTCTAATCTCTGAAGAATTTGGCTAAGAGATGTTCCTTTTAAAACTAAAGGAAATATGCAACGTCCTAAGGAGCAGAAAAATTGTGAGTAGACACACAATAACCTTGGTTTACTATGCAAATTTCGTAAAATTTATTGGAAACGGAAATAAACAAGGATATCTTATAATCTGAATAAAAGCTGGGAAGAGCTTGACACAAAGCAGCTGCCATTGAAAAGATTGATTTTTGCGGAAAATGGTGGATTTTTACAGTAGTGGCACTTTCCATGCAGAAAAAAATCATAAAAAACCTTCCATATTTGGTACTGCTTCCATATATGGAAATCGCGATGACTGTGTACTACCATTTTCATTTAATCTCAAAATCTTTTTTCTCATTTCTCCTCATCGGACC